CGTCCTGCAAACCACTGGCAAGTCCTTGAAGTCCAATACCCCAAATCTGAAGTCAGGAAGAGGTTCCTTCCACAAACTCTCTGTGCAGCAGGGTGAAACATCTAAACATGGGTGAAACATGGGTAAAACATGGGTGAAACATGGGTGAAACATCTAAACATGGGTGAAACATGGGTAAAACATGGGTAAAACATGGGTGAAACATGGGTGAAACATCTAAACATGGGTGAAACATGGGTGAAACATGGGTGAAACATCTAAACATGGGTGAAACATGGGTAAAACATGGGTGAAACATGGGTGAAACATGGGTGAAACATGGGTGAAACATGGGTGACCAGGTGCTTGGGGTGAAGATACCTCATCACTGCTTGGAACCCTGTAATTCTCATAGGAGTAGAGGTTGATGGGGAGAAGGGAGAGGAAGGCAGGATGAAGGTGAAAGAAACTAGAAGTTTCAGCAAATCTAAGGGGACAAAGCCTGGAGAGTGTCTCAGTAAAAACAGGTCACTCCTGACCTATCTCCACACGTCGTAATTTATTCAGAGTAAACTATGGTAACAGAACTCAGGAACATGCCAAGGGGGTGTGTCTGGGTACCTATTAGCACACAGAATCAGGTCTCAAACATTTCCCTAAGGAAAAACATCCTGTTTCATCAGTGCTGAACAAGTTGAGGGATGATTGGAATGAGAGAATTTACAAACAGCGAACCTAAACAGGGAACTAACATATTCAGAACACCCAAGCAGTAGAAGAGAAATAAACATCCACTTTAATCAGTTTTAATTGAAGAGCTAAAGCTTAGCTGCTGTGGGCACCTTCAGGTAACTGGTCTCAGCCAGCTGGGGTCAAGTGGTCATCCTTTGCCCAGTTTCAGTGAGTGACCACTTTTCCCTAAACACCTGAGGAACAGGAAACAGGAGGCGAGAGTAGGTTTTAGGACATAGGAACTTACTGTTGCAGAACTTTTTCTTGGTTCATCTAAAGACAGGGTTCTTGTCCCATGGCCATGAAAGTTTAGGCTCGCCAGATGGTTTGAAGGCAAGGCCAGAGTCCCTGCTAAAGTGCTTCCCACCTCGCAGCTTGAATCCCGAATTCCACACAGGAAGGGGAGGGACCAGGCTCCTCCCAGCTGCAAAAGGCGCAAACTTCTGTGGCTCGACCCCAGTCCACCTTCCCAGTGCGCAGCAGCCCGGTTGGAGGTTTTCCGGGGGCCCCCTCCCTCATGGCTGTCTCACTATGGCAGTAGCTCTTCCTTCTGATAGCTCTTAAAAGTCACTTGGGAATTTCTCCAGAACATCCTGCCTGACTTCCACACCCAGAGATCTCACGTGGACTTGGTCTGGGAGAGGGGCCCGGATATTAGCATTTATTTTTAAAGGTCCCGCAGTGATTCTAACGTGTGATTCTAAAAGGATGACTAAGGTTCTTAGTTTGAATCAGCTGGAAGGACCGTGGTGCCTGACTTTTGAATTGCCCTCCTAGCTTAAACACCGAAGCATGGGTTTATTCTGTTCTCTCAGCGAATGCCTGGAGAAAATAATGCTGCAGATGCTATTCTCGATGTTTGGTGTATGTTACAAAGAAAGAAAGAAAGAAAACCCCTGGGTCACTAAGCTAACCTTATAGTAGGAGGATTCAGGCAACAAGCAGAAAGCATGGTGCACAGAAGTATCAAGCAACAAACCCTATTAAAAAGAAAAAGAACAGAGTGACAGGAGTTGAGATTGCGGGAAAAGTGAGAAGCAGAATTTGTTATTAAAATAAGGGGTCATATTAGCCCTCACTAAAAACACATATTTGAGAAAGATCTTGAGGGCAATAACGAGAAGAAAAGGGTGTTCCAAGGGAACAGCTAGTAGAAATGCCCCAAGACTGGATTTGACAGATGTGCTCACAAGATGAAGAGATGGCGAAGGCTGGGTGCGGTGGCTCACACCCATAATCCCAGCACTTTGGGAGGCTGAGGTGGGTGAATCACAAGAGGTCATGAATTTGAGACCAGCCTGGTCAACATGGCGAAACCTCATCTCTACTAAAAATACAAAAATTAGCCAGGCATGGTGATGCATGCCTGTAATCTCAGCTACTTGGGAGGCTGAGGCATGAGAATTGCTTTAACCTGGGAGACGGAGGTGCCAGAGAGCCGAGATTGCACTACTGCCCTCCAGCCTGGGTGACGGAGCAAGACTCAAAAAAAAAAAAAAAAAAAAAAAAAGGAACAAACCAGAAATGGCCACTGAGGCTTGTGCAGGATGAGTGAGGTAGAAGGCTGCAGGTCGAGGTTGCAAAGGTTAAGGAGGCAGCTTCCTTAAGTGCCCTGCCATTGTGAGGAGCTTGGCTTTCACTTTGAGTGAAACAGGGAGCCAAGAAAGGGTTTTGAGTCACGGAAAGGAAGCACAGACTACTTTATATCTTAAACAAACAAACAAACCAAAAACACTTTGACTATTATGTTGACTCAAGTAGAGAGGACAAATGTGGAAGCAGGAAGATCAGCGAGTAGGTGATTGTTGTTCTCTGGGGGCAAAGCGGGATGGTGGCCTGAACGATTTTCTTAGTAGCACTTAAAAAGCAGAGACATCAATCTATGTTGAGAGATTAACATGGAAAGACAGGGAGGAGGTAAAAATGATCCTAACTCGTTTTTTGTTGTTGTTGTTTTGTTTTTAGTCTAACCCAACTAGAAGGATTTCATTACCTTCAACAGAGAGAGAAAGTTACAAGTGAAATGAGTTTGTTTTTTTGGGAAAGAGCATGAGTTCAGTTTATGTCATGTTGAGTTTAAGATGTTTATGAGACAAGTGAGATGCCAGGTACAGAGTTGTACAGATTGAGGCAAGTTCAGAGAAGAAGTCTGGCATGCAGATATAAGTGTTCAAGTTAGAAGCATAGAGATAGTATTTAAAGGTATATGAGAGTAGATAACATCAAACATGTGTACACAGAGAAGAGGGCCAAGGGCCCCAAAGTACCCCAGCAATAAGAGAACAGGAAGAAGAGACAGAATCAGCAAAGGTTATGGAGAAAATGTGGTTCATAAGTGAGAAGAAAAATTATGTGTACTGCTTCTTCAGTAAGTCGAAGAAAGTGAAGATGATGATGAGGAGGAGGTTTGATTAAAGCTGTCAAATACAGCTAGCAGGTTCAGTAAAATGATAGTGGATCATTGGATTTAGCTATGTGGCGATCTTTGGTTACTCAAAAGTTATTCTGTAATTATAGAAAACTGATCTAAAGATAGTTAAGGCAGAATAAGAGAAGGATTGGACATTACAAATACAGGTAATGCTGGTGATTGCTGCTGCTAATGAGAACAAATAGAATGCAGGGAAAGTGAGGTTAAGAAAAAAAAAGTTTTGACAGAAGGAAGTATTACATGATGTTTTTAAGCCATTGAGAATAACCCATTATTTAAAAAGAAACACTGATAATGCAGGAGAAGGCAGAAAAATTGTTACAGTGATGATTTTGAATAAGCAGGAGTGGATGGGATTTGGTGTACAATTGCAGAGTCTGGTTTTAGATAAGAGCGTAGACGTTCATCTGTGGCAGCACACAGGAAGCCGGAATATGTCGATAAGAGATGTTTGTAAGTTGATGTGATATGAGCTTGAAGAATTTCCCTTCTGACTGCTTCAGTTTTCTCAGTAAGGAAGACATCAGGCTGAGCATAAGAAGTGGAGAGGAAATGCTAAAGGTTTGTGGAGAAAGGAGACAATGAGAAATCATAGTCTAGGACAGTGGAAAATTAACTGACCCAGCAATGTGTAGTGGTGTGTGTATGCATCACTGCCCTGCAGCACGAAGGCCCATGGGCATGAACCTCACCTCAGAACAGGTCACTGTAGTTGCTTGTCTTTCCCCAACATATCAGCTACAAAAATATAGAAATCTGGTCAGCAAAAGTTTGGATTCAACTAGAGTTGTAGTTTTGCCATTAAAGTATGTTGAAGAGAGGAGCAAAGGAGTCAAGAGTGTTTGCAGGAGTTTCGTACAGATTAACCACAAAATGTAAGCAGGGTAGTGAGGAAAGTACAAATATCAAGAGGGTGAAGGGTAGTGACACATTGTAAGATCAACATACAGAAAATCCCAGTGAGGGTAAAGCTTTGTGAGGCTAGAGATATAAAATGGAGAGAGCTGAGAAAATAGGAAGCATTTATCGAATCTATGTACGTGAGAACAAATAACCAAGGTAGCGCCAAGAACAAGCTCTTTCAAAAAGAGGAGTTCTGGAAATCTGAAGGCCAAGATGTTAAAAGGATCATCTAAAAACATTTTAAAAATTGTGAGGGGGCCAGGCACAGTGGCTCACACCTATAAAATCCCAGCACTTTGGGAGGCTGAGGTGGGCAGAACATGAGATCAAGAGATCGAGACCATCCTGGCCAACATGGTGAAACCCCATCTCTACTAAAAATACAAAAATTAGTTGAGCATGGTGGTGCTTGCCTATAGTCCCAGCTACTCAGGAGTCTGAGGCAGGGGTATCGCTTGAACCTGGGAGGCAGAGGTTGTAATGAGCTGAGATTGCGTCACTGTACTCCAGCCTGGCGACAGAGCGAGACTCCATCTCAAAAAAAAAAGGAAAAATGAAAAAAGAAATTGTGAGGAATTAGGTCCGTGTAAAACTTGAGAGAATGGGCCATGAGCTAACATTGTCTTAAAATATAACTCAATCATTGGAAGAAAACAGCAACAGGAAAACATAAGATTATGAACTGGGGATTTTCAGGGAGGAGAAAGAAAGAATGGCCAGAAAATGAAATGAGGGACTAGTTAATAGGCGTTCTACCTCCCTCTAAGCTCAGTGGTAATGATAATTGTAGAGAGAACATGACCACCGCTTGAGACATCTGCAGGGGAGGCAGTTTGTTCAGGTGGGAGGAACAAGAGTGTGCATCACAGTCTAGATGGATGTTGGGACCTAGATTACTTTCCTGCAGCTGCCCACCCAGAGTCCGCAAACTGAGTTGCTTTAAACAATGCAAATGGTGCTCGTTTCCACAGCACGAATGCTAAAATTGGAATGACATAAAGAAGATTAGCACGGCCCCTCCACAAGGATGACATGCAAATCCATGAGGTATTCCAGAAGAATGCAAATGTATCCCCACAGTTCTGGAGGCAAGAAGTCTGAGATCAGGGTGTTGGTAGGGCCATGTGCTCTCTGAAGGCTGTAGAGGTAGATCATTGCTTTCTTCTCTCTTTGCTTCTGGTAGTTTCCAGCTTCTTGCTGCCCTTGGCTTGAAGATGCATCTCTCCAGTCTTTGCCTCTGTCATCACATGACATTCTTCCTGTGTCTCTTCTCCTTTTCTAATAAGGACACCAGTCACATTGAACTTATGGCCCACCTTACTTCATTACGAAGTCATCTTGATTATATCTGCAAAGATGCTATTTCAAAATAAGGTCAATTCACAGGTACTGGGGCTAGGACTTGAACGTATCTTCTTTTGAGGAGTACAGTTCACTCCACAACAGGATTAGGAGTGAATTGCAAGCCCAGTAGGAACAGTCTCACAGTGAACAGAGAAAATCTTCCCAACTCTTCGTTTCTTGTGTTACTGGTTCCAAGGTATCCGTTTCTCCTGGTACTCTCTCATTCAACATATGAGCATTTCAGTGCCAAGAGCTGAAAGTGGCTCAGAGAAAAGAAGCACATGGTGCTGCCCCCACAGACTCTGCCCAGGAGGTCTCATTCTTCTTCATGGACTCTGAGTGAGACCTGCTGCCTCTAGGACCCCCTGTCCCTGGAACCTCTCTTGTTCCTCCCTCATTGTGTATTTTCTACATTACCCACGTTGTGTAACTCAATATGTGTATTAGTCCATTTTCATACTGCTATAAGAAACTGCCCAAGACTGGGCAATTTATAAAGGAAAGAGGTTTAATTGACTCACAGTTGTGCATGGCTAAGGAGGCCTCAGGAAACTTACAATCATGGGGGAAGGCAAAGGGAAAGCGAGCACCTTCTTCACAAGGCAGCAGGAAGAGAAGTGCTGATTGAAGACGGAAGAGCCCTTTATAAAACCATCAGATCTTGTGAGAATTCACTCACTATCACAAGAATAGCACGGGGAAACCACCCTGATGGTTCAATTTCCTCCACCTGGTCTCCCTCTTGACACATGGGGATTATGGGTATTACAATTCAAGATGCGAATTGAGTGGGGGCATAAATCCTAACCATATTACCATGTAACTGACAAAATGACCTTGTAAATGGTATCTGCTTATTGGACACTTTTCTGCATACTAAGGATAAAAGACATTCAAAGCCCTGCCCTGGAGGAGCTTATGATCCAGTAGCACACACATGGCTTTTCTAACATTTTTCCTTCTCCTAATTAGATTCTCAGTTCTGGAGGGCAGACCCTTTTATTATACATGAATTCCACCCACCCACCCATGCAGTGCCATAGTGAATAAATATTCCGTGATTATTTTAGAGTTATGGGCTGTGATTTGAAATCCATGAGTGGTCTGCTATCTTGTCAATCACACTAGTCTCCACTTCAGCCCAAATACATGGGGACAGAAACTTTATTTCTATATTGAATACAGATTCCTGGTTGGCTGGCAAACAATAATTTTTAATCACAGCAGATAAGAAAGTGGAAGAAGTAGGTATTTTTTTTTTCTGAAAACTTGATAGATCTATACTTCAAAATCCTAAGGAAAAGATTATAGTTCCTGCATTGGTTTTCTGTGACTATTGTAAGAATTAATACAAACATGGTGGTTGAAAACAACAGAAATGTATTCTCTCACAATTCTCTAGAAAGCAGGTGACACATGGATAATGCAAAACATCATGCAGCCATTAAGCTTAGGTAGAAAATTAATCACATGGGATGCTGCACATGATACTTTTAAAAGGAAGGAGGTAGATTTATGTATATGTTATAATCACTTTGGAATGAAAATAGCATAAATTATATGAATAAAAGTAGGAAAAAAACATGGAAGGAGTATGCATTAGCAGTTAATAAAAATCATTGTGTTTAAAGATTATAAGATGTATTTTCAATGCTTAGTTTTATAATTATTTGAAAAATAATCTAAAGGCTTTAAAAAGAGCATTTGTTATTTGTATTTTTAGAAATAAAAACTTTAAATACCATTCTAAGAAAAAAATGATATAACCAGCAACATATAATGAAATAAGAAAAGCAATGAGGAAGATGATTTGTAATTGATCTACTTTGGATGAATTTTAGGATTTGACCACTAAATAAATTAGTTCACAAAATTTACTTGTGTGAACAAATTCAGAACAAAGAATGAGTGAACAGAATACCACAAATATGTGGTAATTTAAAAGTAAGAAACACTCATGTTCTAATTTTTAGTACTGAATACTTTGAAAGGAACAAAATAAAATGTGTTATGTAAATTAGTAGGAAAGTTGAAACATGCATATATTCAAATAGGCCCTGGATAACAGATATGTATCTTACACATTTGTTAAGTCTAGTTCAGATGTAGGTACTTTGCAAAAATGCAAAAAATATTAATTGAATAAATGAGTGAAAAGTATAGGGGTTTTAGTTGATGAAAATGCATTTTCAATAATTGTTCTTAGAAAGAGGAGTATCTCATATAACAACTAATCGATCTAGGAAAACTGTCAGCAAAATCCTGTCTGGGCCCTCACTTTTCAATAAAACACTATAAAAGTAACCATCATCTGGGTGCCCCCACACTTCTTATTCTCAGCTCAGTATGCTGTCTCCTCCTGGGCTCCTGGGGGATTTTTAGCCACACTAGGGAGTGATCTGGTTTTGAGAAAGTCTGGAATCTGACTTTCACTCCAATGTTACTAACAGTTGTTTCTGGATTGTAGTGGTAAGGAGGCTTTATAAAGCAGCTTATGTTCTTTATGCTAAGTCTCAGAGAAACACATATGCCATGGAGAGTTTTAATCACAGGAGAGATCCAATTACTCATGGAGTACAAAGGGGCAACCGCATTTGAATTCTCCCTTTGATCATCCAGAAATGTGATCGTGAAGAAAATAGAGTCAATACTCAATGAAATTTTGAATTAGTTGTATAGTCATTTTAAAATCAAAGCCGTTCTCTTCCCTTTTCTTAAAAGATTGAATTATTACTAGTACAGGTGTTTAAATCACAACATGTTCTTGGTGCTTGTGATGGTTAATACCAAGTGTCAACTTGATTGGATTGAAGGATCCAAAGTATTAATCCTGGGTGTGTCTTCGAGGGTGTTGCCACAGGAGATTAACATTTGAGTCAGTAGTCTGGGAAAGTCAGACCCACCCTTAACCTGGGTGGACACTGTCTAATCAGCTGCCAGCACAGATAGAATGTAAAGCAGGCAGAAAAATGTCAAAAGACCAGACTGGCTTAGCTTTACAGCATACATGTTTCCCCCCTGCTGGAATTTTCCTGCCCTCGAACACTGGACTCCAAGTTTGTCAGTTTTGGGACTCTGACTGGCTTTCCTTGCTCCTCAGTTTGCAGATGGACTATTTGGGGCCTTCTGATCATGTGAGTTAATACTTAACAAACTTATATATATATATATATACACACACACACATATATACACACACACACGCATATATATGTATATATATCTCCTATTAATTCTGTCCCTCTAGAGAACCCTGACTAATATAGTGCTCAAAATGCTAGCCATATACAAATCTACTTCAGTAACCTACCTCCGTCCATCACTTAAATCTTGGTGTGCCCTTACTTTGTAACCATAGCTTCTTTGTTCTCCAATCTTTAGGTAAAACTTAAGTGATCCTATCAACTCTTGGAACTTTAACTGCCAGCTTTTGTGCAAAATAACACACTCAATCTCTCCATTTCAAATTTCTCCTAACTTCCAGATTTGCTGTATCCCACATACACTGTGTCCAAAGTGAACTCATTTCCATTTCTCAATTCTTTTATTTCCCTTACTGAATAAGATGAACACCCATCTTAGAGAATGACACTATTATCTACCCAATTCCCCGAAAAGAAACATGTAATCAGCCTAGACCTTTCTCCTTCATATTCCTCTCTTCCCATGTTTATATTAATGAGCATTCACAAATGTGAAATAAGAGCTCTCTTCAAACCTTTTCCTGCTTTATCTCCACTGCTACCTTATTTCAGGGTCCAACCATACATCAAGTTAGGGTACTGTTCTTGTCTCCGTTTCATTTCTTCTGGCCTCCCTGTGCATTCCAATGGAGTCCCGTAAATTATTATCATATCTCCATTCTTGAGTCAGTAAATGGGTTGCCCAGCCTATCTACCTACTTTCAAGTCTGGTTTCTTATCAAGATCTGAATTTCTTTGTGAGTCAGTGTCCTCCATTGTAAGAATGCATTTACGATATTAATTTCAAATTGTGATCTCATCTCTCTGTATGAAGGATACCTGTGACCTTTTATAGACATTGATTTAATTGGTCTTGGATGGACCACAGGTACTGTAGGTTTTTCAACTCACAAGATGATTTCAATACACAACCAGTGTTTTTAGCTCATGAAGTAAAATACAGCAGTTGCTATGGGTTGGGTCCCATGTTCGTCAGCGTTCTCTAGAGGGCCAGAACTAATAGGATAGTTCTATACATAAAGGGGAATTTATTAAGGCGTATTGACTCACACGAACCCAAGGTGAGGTCCCACAGTAGGCCATCTGCAAGCTGAGGAACAAGGGAGCCAGTCCAAGTCCCAAAACTGCAGAACTTGGAGTCTGATGTTCGAGCACAGAAAGCATCTATCATGGGAGAAAGATGTAGGCCGGAAGACGAAACCAGTCTAATCTTTCCATGTTCTGCCTGATTTTAGTTTGGCTGCACTGACAGCTGATTAGATGGTGCCCACTCAGATTGAAGGTGGGTCTGCCTTCCTGGCCCACTGACTCAAAGGTTATTCTCCTTTGGCAACACCTTCACAGACACACCCAGGAAAAATACTTTGCATCCTTCAATCCAATCAAGGTGACCCTCACTATTAACCGTCACAGGTCCTTAACTCAAATATCTATCCATATCCTTTCCTTAAACTATTTCATCTTTTTCACCCTCAGTATGTCTTCACTTTGGGGTGGGAGAAGTTTCATAAACTG